ATAGATTTAGTGTTTCTGTTTTAATATTCAGATCTTTGACCCATTTAGATTTTAATTTAGTACATGGTGATAGACATGGGTCTAGCTTTGGTTTTCGGCAAATGGAGAGCCAGTTTTTCCAGCACCATTTATTAAAGAGACTGTCGTTCTTCCAGTGAACCCGCTTGGCTGCTTCATCAAAGATAAGGTGGTTGAGGGTGTTTGTAGTTGTGGTTGTATCTTCTAATCCATTCCATTGATCTTCGGTTCTGTTTTGATTCCAATACCATGATGATTTTACTACTGTTGCTTTGTAGTATAATTTCAAGTCAGGGATTGTGATGCCTCCTGCTTTGTCTTTGCTGCTTAGAATTACCTTTGCGATTCTAGGTCTCTTCTGGTTCCAGATGAAATTTAGGAGTGATTTCTCTAGATCTATAAGGTATGTTGATGGTATTTCTATTGGGATTGCATTGAATCTGTATAAGAGTTTTGGGAGAATGGCCATCTTCACAATGTTTGTTCTTCCTATCCATGAGCAAGGGATGTCTTTCCATTTTCTGAGATCATCTTCAATTTCCTTTTTCAGTGTATTATAATTTTCACCGTATAAGTCTTTCACTTCTTTCGTAAGAGTAATTCCTAAATATTTCATTTTTTTGCTTGCTAATGTGAATAGTCCAGTTTCTCTTATTTCCCTCTCTGTAATTTTGTTGTTCGTGTATAGGAATGCTATTGATTTCTGAGTATTGATTTTGTATCCAGCCACATTACTGAATTTATTTATTGTATCTAAGAGTATTTCAATGGAGTTTAGGGGGTCTTCTATGTAGAGTATCATGTCATCTGCAAACAATGATAATTTATCTTCTTTTCCTATCTTTACCCCTTTTATTTCTCTTTCTTGCCTAATTGCTCTGGCTAGTACTTCCAGTACTATATTAAATAGGAGTGGTGATAAAGGACATCCTTGTCTTGTGCCCGATTTTAAAGTAAAGGCTTTCAATTTTTGGCCATTTAGTATGATGCTGGCTGTTGGTTTGTCATAAATGGCCTTTATTATATTGAGGTAAAGACCATTTATTCCAATTTTCTGTAAAGTTCTTATCATGAATAAGTGTTGGACCTTATCGAAGGCTTTTTCTGCATCTATAGAAATGATCATGTGACTCTTATTTTTAGCTTTATTGATATGGTGGATTACATTTATTGATTTGCATATGTTGAACCATCCTTGCATTGCTGGGATGAATCCCACTTGGTCATGGTGTATAATCTTCTTGATGATTTGCTGGATCCTATTTGCCAATATTTTATTGAGGATTTTTGCATCTGTGTTCATTAGGGAGATCGGTCTATAGTTCTCTTTTATAGTTGGGTCTTTCTCAGGTTTTGGTACTAGAGTAATATTTGCTTCCAGGAATGACTTAGGAAGGATTGCTTCCCTTTCAATTTCATTGAATAGTTTGAGGAGTGTCGGCATTAGGTCTTCTTTATATTTCTTGTAGAATTCTGCAATGAATCCATCTGGGCCTGGGCTCTTCTTGGTGGGTAAGGCCTTAATTACATTTTCAAGTTCATTAGCAGAGATTGGGTTATTCAACAGTTTTATATCCTCGTGATCTAGGTTTGGTACTTCATATGCTTCTAAGAATCTGTCTATTTCTTCTGTGTTATCAAACTTTTGAGAGTAGAGGTTTTTGAAATAGGTGTTGATGATCTTCTGTATTTCTATTGGGTCTGTAGTGATTTCTCCTTTTTCATTTCTTATTGCATGAATTTGAGCTTTTTCTTCCCTTTTTTAAATAAGGTTGGCTAGGGGCTTGTCGATTTTATTTATTCTTTCAAAGAACCAACTCTTTGATTGGTTGATTCTTTTGATTGTTTTCTTAGTCTCTATTGCATTGATTTCTGCTCTGATTTTTATAATTTCCTCTCTTCTTTTGGCTTTGGGCTTGACTTGCTCTTCTTTTTCTAGCTGTTTGAGGTGTAGCATCAAGTTATTTATTTGTATTCGTTCCGTTTTCCTGATGTGGGAACTCAGTGCAATAAATTTTCCTCTCAGAATGGCTTTCATTGCATCCCACAGATTCCGGTAAGTTGTATCTGCATTTTCATTTTCTTTTAGGTATTGTTTAATTTCTTCTTTAATTTCTTCTGTGACCCACTGATTACTCAAGAGTGTATTATTTAGTTTCCATAAGATTGCGGAATTTTTGCAGTATCTTTTGTCATTAATTTCTAATTTCAGAGCGCTATGATCCGATAATATGCAAGGGATGATTTCAACTCTTTTGCATTTGCTTAAATATGTTCTGTGAGCTAATATATGGTCTATTTTAGAAAATGATCCATGTACTGCTGAGAAGAATGTGTATTCTGATGTTGTTGGGTGGAACATTCTGTATATGTCTATCAAACCCATTTGTTCACAGGTGCAATTCAGTTCTGTTATTTCTTTGCTCATTTTCTGTCTGGTTGATCTGTCCCTTGGTGTCAGTGGTGTATTAAGGTCTCCTGTTACAATTGTGTTACTGATAATTTGAGTTTTCATTTCTGTTAATAATTGTTTTATATAACTAGGTGCTCTGGAGTTTGGTGCGTATATATTTAAGATAGTTATCTCTTCCTCTTGGAGTTTTCCCCTTATGAGTATGTAGTGACCTTCTTTGTCCTTTATGGTCATTGTTGGTTTAAAGTTCACGTTGTCTGCAAACAGAATGGCTACTCCTGCCTTTTTTTGGATTCCTGCTGCATGAAGAATTGTTTTCCATCCTTTGACTTTCAGTCTGTGAGTATCCTTCTGGGTTAGATGGGTTTCCTGTAAACAGCATATGGTTGGATTTTGTTTCTTGATCCATTCTGCTAGTCTGTTTCTTTTGATTGGTGCATGGAGACCATTTACATTAATGGTTATTACTGTTAAATGCTGGTAGGAATGTTATCTCTCTGCTGTTGCATCTTTATCTTTCTGTTCTGTTTAATTATTTGCTTTGCTTAGTGCTTTTTTCCTTTGTGTATCTAAACTGTCTTTCAATATTTTTTGCAGGGTTGGTTTGGTGTTCATGAAGTTCTTCAGCTGTTCTTTGTCATGGAAGTATCGTATTGCACCATCTATTTTGAATGATAGTTTTGCAGGATATGTCAGTCTTGGTTGGAAATCATTTTGCTTTAGGATCTGGAATACTTCACTCCATGCTCTTCTTGACTTTATCGTATGTGCTGAGAAGTCTGCTGTGATTCTGATAGGTTTTCCTTTATAAGTGATCTGTCTTTTCTCTCTGACAGCTTTTAATAATCTATTCTTGTGTTGGATTTCTGGGATGGTGATTATTATATGTCTGGGTGTAGTTTTATTTTGGTTATGACTATTTGGAGTCTGTATGCTTCACTGATCCTGATGTCAGTTTCTGATCTCATGCTTGGGAAATTTTCAGCTATTACTTCTCTAAATATCCTCCTGACATCCTTCATGTTGTCTCCCTCTCTTTCATTAATCCCTATCATTCTTATGTTATTCTTCTTTGCATCGTCTTGCAGTTGTTGAATTGTTGTTTCCTGGTTCCTTGTTATTTTCAAAAGATCTTTCCTTTCCTGTTCACTAGCTGCAATCCTGTCTTCAAGGTCTGAAATTCTATCTTCACTTTCATTAAGGCGGTTTTTACAACTTTCAGTGGAGTTTTTTATTTCCTGTATATCTCTGTGCATCTGCATTATGTATTCTGTTTGTTTCTTATATTGCTCGTCTAGGGATTCTATCTTTTTGTTTAGTTCCTCCAATTTTTTATCTGTGTTTTCTTTAGATATATTCAGAATCTCTTTCATTTCTTTTATCATTTCTTCTTTTATCTGGGAGATTATTTTGAGTTTGAATTTCTTTAAAGCTTCCTGGAGTTGCTTGTCAATTTCAGTGGCTATTGTGTCCGATATATGAGGTGGATGGGATATATTTTCTTCTATATACATCGCTCCTAGGGTTTCTTGAGATGGGCTGGAGGTTTGAGGTTGTAATTTGGTCTTTCGTTTTGTCATTTTCCTATATTTCTGTGTTTCAAGTGTTATTTGAAAGCTTCCTCAGGATCTGTTGAAAATCCCCTTCTATGTTTCGAGCTACTGAGACTCTGGCACCACGCTACCCCAAGCCATTGGGCCTACAGAACCAGTGGCCCTCCTCTGCCTGCTCAGAACTCCGCAGTTCCAGACAAGCTGGGCCTCAGGGACACTGTGCACCCACCTGCCCCTTGGAAGCTCCACAGTTCTTCAATCGCAGCCGGGTTAGGGTACTCACCACAGGCCGCAGTGCCTCAGGAACCTGTGGACCCTCCCTGGTTGCAGAGATATCCACAGTCCTCCAGACACATGGAGAGGCCGATGCAGGCACCCCAAATCTGCCCAGCTCCTCCTCTGCAGACCAATGGCCAGGCGCAGCAGCTAAACAGGCTGGGCTAGGCTGATAGTGTGGGCCTGCCCACCCGTCGGGAGCTCACCAGTTCTCCAAGTGTAACCAGAATGGGGAGGCTGATGTGGAAGCCTCAAACCCACCTCTCCCCTTCACTGCACCTGGAAGCCTGGGGGGCTCCAACAGTCTGGGCGGAGATATCCAGAGTCCTCCAGACACGCAGAGAGGCTGGTGAGGGCACCCCAGATCTGCCCAGCTCCTCCTCTGCAGACCGATGGCCAGGCACGGCAGCTAAACAGCCCTAGTGTGAGTTCTATCATGTATTTTATAACCTGCTTGTGAGATGATCTTATTTCCACAAGTCTTGCATACATAAGATTTCTCCCTAATTTAAGTTCATTCTTGTTTCTATCAGTTACTGAGTCTGCATTTGCTTTTGTGACAATATATCTTACAGGCCATGAATATAAGCACACTTCTGAATGTGTATGTGTAGACCTTCTCAATAAACTGATACAGGAGTTAAAGATTCTGTTGGGAAAAATTGAGATAAGATAAGAGATTTTCATCTATAAGACAGAAAAATGGTGAATAAAAACATGGGAAAAATGATTCACCCTACTTATATTTTCTTTAACAAATATAATATTTTATTAAGGCTAAGACAAATCAGATATTTATGTGTGCTTCATAAAAAGAAATGAAAACATTTTAGGATAACTCTGTGTTTGACAGTATTTCCAAAAAAAATCTATGAATATATACTGACAGCAATAATTTTATATTATTTTTATGTTTCCTCTACATGAGTAATTTTTGAAATATTTTCAAAATAGTCACATATGTGAGATTTCAATTAACTATGATTATTTTCACATATTTGACAATAATAATAAGTACTAAATGCTTTCTCCCACATTGCATACATAAACTAGGGAAACAATATGGCATCACGCGGAAGTATAGTGTCTTTCAGCTGAATTTTTACCAAATATTTCTCACACGCAGTTTCCTCAGCATGAGGGGAATCTTATGTTTGCAAAAGGGAAACACTCCAGCCAATCTTTTCCACACAACCTACACACAAAGGTTTTCTTTATTGTGTGCATTATTCCTCTATTTGATGGCACTTTTGTGCACTAAATGGTATCGACCATTGTTCAAATGCATAGAATTACTACACAGAGGGAATTCTTTCATGTAGTGACAATATCTCTGGTTCTGGAAAATTTTCCTACATTCCTTATGTTCATAAGTTTTCTTTCTAGTGTGGGATATTTTATGTTTATAATATCAGAATTTATCAAAAAAATCCATTTTCTTGTTTCTCATATAGATAGTTTTTCTTCAGAGTGAATTCTTTTATATACACAAAAGTCACTACTATAGCTTAAAGACATCCCTAATATCATACATAGATAGATAGGATTTATTTTCAGCACTTCTGCATACTGAATGCTTTGCCACATTATTTGTATCCATAAAAGTTCTAGACAATATGATTTCTTTCATGTATAAGGGTACCATTTCAACTGAAGGAATTCCCACATTGCTTACATATATATCATTTCTCCCCAGTGCAACTCTATCATGTGCTTTACAATTGAAGGCTGTACTCAATGTTTTTTCACATTTGTTGCATACATACGTTTTCTCCTCTGTGTGAATTTTTTCATGGGGAATAAGTTAATCACTTTAAGATTTCCCACATTTGCTGCATACAAAGGGTTGTTCCCCCATGTGAATTCTATCATGTGTTTTACAACCATAGGCTGTACTGAATGCTTTCTCACATTTGTTGCACACATAGGGTTTTTCCTCAGTGTGAATTCTACCATGTATTTTAAAATCTGAGGCTGTCCTGAATGCTTTCCCACATTTGTTGCACACATAGGGTTTTCCCCCAGTGTGAGTTTTATCATGTATTGTACAATCTGAGGCTCTCATGAATGCTTTCCCATACTTGTTGCATACATAGGGTTTTTCACTAATGTAAATTCTATCATTTATTTTACAATCTGAAGCTCTCCTGAATGTTTTCCCACATTTGTTGCACACATAATATTTCTCCTCTGTGTGAATTTTTTCATGTGTAATAAGTTTATCACTTTGAAGGAAAGATTTCCCACATTTCTTACCTATAAATTGTTTCTCCCCAGTGTGAGTTTTATCATGTATTTTACAATCTGGGTAATTAATGAGTGATTTTCCACATTTGTTTCATACAAAGGCTTTCTCTGCAGTGTGAATCCTTTTACGTCTTTGACAGCTACTGCCTGTACTTAATGCTTTCCCACATACTTTGCATAAATATAGTTTCTTTCCAGTGTGAAGTTCTTTATGTTTTTTTAAAGAAGTTACTATAAAATAATGTTTTTGTACATTGCTCAGTTATATGGTGTTTCTCTCCACTATATTTTAAACATTTTTTCAATAGAGTATAAAGAAATAGATCTATTCTCATAGCGTTTCTGTATATATAAGCTCCTTGAACTGTGATTTGTCCTGTGTATTTGAAAATTGTTAGACGTAGTGTAAGCTTTCTTTTTTTTCTAACCTACAAGTGTTTTCTGCCCAGCGTGAGTTTGTTCACTAAGATTAGAGCTGTCCTCCCCACACTGCCCATACTGACAGTGTCTCTCTCCAATATTCCTCACTTCATGCTTCTGAAAGGACTGGAAATATCTGCAGGTCTCTACATCTTCCAAACATTTATATTGCTGCTCTCCAAATCTCAAATAATTGTCTTCATCGTATCTGTAAAGAGATAAAAATAAAGATAACAATCACAATGGAAAGGGCTCCATATTAACAATTGAGATTTAAGATGACAAATTTGATTTGATGCCTCAGTAATTCTGATGCTTAACTCACTCATTGCCCTGCAGTGTTTCTTTCAAAGTACTATTCATTCTAAAAAGGATGGTTTTCACTTGGCAATTTTAAATTGGTATGATTTCAGTATGTAATATCGTATTAGGATAATGCTACAAATGACTATCAAATATTGATCACTTTTGATCTCTTCACACCTTCATTCTCCTCCTTATCCATTTACCTTGATAACCTTCCTCATCTACAGAAAGTGGAGATTTCTTGTATTATCTCTATTTACTTTTACTTCTCAAATATGCTTTTAATTTCCTATTTAGGAGAAGCCCTGTGATATTTCAATTTCTGTGGCTTCTTTACTTCATTTAAGGTCCAATTATTTTTGTTTCTTGGGAAATAATATCATGGTTCCTTCTATAGCATATTTTTTTCACTGTAGAGTGTTAAGTACATGTCTTAGGATGAAATACATTTGCTGATCTAGTATGTGGTTTATTTTTCAGAGAAGAGTCTTATTGATCATAAAGTTGCTCAGGCTGAATTTAAAGTTGTCTTGCTGATTCAGTCTACCAGAGTACAGGGATTGCAAGAATGCACCACCATGATGAGCTGACCCTACATTTTCTTTACTCAGGCATGCAGTGATCAGCATCTGGACTTTTCCAAGAGCTTAGCAACTGTGAATTTATTCTCATATTAGATATTGTGAATTCCCTTTCATATACTGCATTGAACAACACACTGCGTGGATCACTAACTAAAATCATTTGATGATTTTAATGTATTTCACAATCCTGAGAGAATCATTGCACATAATGACACAGTAGAACTCTATCAATAGTCAGGAGGTAGAGGCAGAAGGATCACTATGAGTCTCAGGCCAGTAAGGGCTACAAAGTAAGTTCAAAGTTAATCTGAAATACAGTATGAAATCCAGGCTCAAAGTAAAAAAAAAAGCCCACAAGTATATACCGATGTATGTACATTTGGAACAACATGAAACATATTATTTTACTTTTCTTACCTCTAAATACTGATTACCATGTTTCTTTTTTATGTGTAAATCAACAATATATGAGGAATTTTAAACGTGAACAGCTCTATGGTATATAGGATATTTTCCAAATACTTATAACAGTAACATTCATTTGCATTTTGAATTCTATGTGATTCTATGTGAAAACATTTTTAGATCATGAAAGGCTCAGTGTTCACATATATACATGAATATTTTGAAGATGATCCTTGTTTTATTTGAAGAGAATAAAACCAAAAGAGACAAAAAAGTAGAGTCAATCAAAACAAAAGGATGAACATGGTACATGACTTACAAAAGAAATACAAGGAGATCAATTATGGCTACCATAATGTCTCTTCTTATCTTCAAAACATTGCCCATTTCATGAGGCATAATAAAATTGAACAAAACAGTACAGACAAAAGCCAATAAAAACAAAGCAATGGAAACATTATAGGAATTCAAATGAATAGTCAAAACACAATACGTATCATCGTGCATTTTATTGTACTCAAAGTACTTGCCTATACCTGATGCTATCAAACAAAATAGAAAACAGTCAGAACAAAACAATGAAAGCAAACAATGAAAGCAAAACAGAATTTCAAGCTAAAAGGAAATTGAAAATGGTTTCTATGATATATCCTACTGTCTTTGGAATAACTACCCATGTCATCAAATCTAATACAAGTAGACAAACTGATACAGAATAAAACCAAACTAATCAGAGCAATGAGAGTAATATGAGTATCGTGGGTTTCATGATACTAGCTTAAAATGCACACTGTCTCTACTTTTTATATTAGGGAGTCAACCCGCTGTTCACCTGAGTGACTCTGAAATATTTTACCCCTGAGCAAGATCTCTAGTTGTATCCATTAACCTACAAGAGACTCAAAGGTAACTTTCTTTATAGCTGAGTAGCTTTCCATTGTATAAAAGTGTCATGGCTTTCTAACCAATCCTCAGCTGATCGTAAGCTACCCTTATCTTTTTCAGGTTCCCTGTCACTTAGAACACTGCTTTCTCATCTTTGATTTTTCAATCTATAAATTCCTTTTTGGGTTAAACGTATTTCTTATATATCTATGATGCTATTTTTCTGCTGTTGGTTGCCTACTTTCCCCTTCATTCCACTGTCTGCTCCATTCAGTGAGCCCCCTCTGCTGCTGGCCTGAAGCCATGGTCTTTTTCTCTCTTTCACTACAATGGCTTTCAGTATTTATTGTACGTTTGGATTCGTGGTTATGAATTCTTTCAGTTGTTCTTTATCATGGACTTTTCTTGTTTCTTCACCAATTTTGAAAGTTATTTTTCAGGAAAGATCAATATAGTTTGGAGGTCATTTTTTTTTCAGGACTTGGAATACTTCAGTCCAGGCTCTTCTTTATTTGATGGCTTGTGCCAAGAAATCTGTTGTGGGCTTGTGCAGCCTCTGGATGCAGTGGCTGCAGAGGCACCCATGAGTGCTCAGCACAGTCTGGTGTGGGGACCAGGTCTGCAGGTGGCCGTCATCCTGCTCGTCCACTATTTCTACCTACAGGCAGTCAGCACACAGGGCCAGAACCTCACTCACTCACCCCCAGGTCAAGTAGTATTCAAAGTAGTAATCAAACCTCTTTCATCAAAAGAGGTAGCCAGGATTCTTGTCACTGCACCTTTGGACAGGAATGATAGGACATTTTTGGTGCAATATAGAATGTATGACACTGTCAACAAAGGGCTGAAGATAGACGTCCTTTAGGATGATAAACATGTGGCCCAGTCTCCCTATATTTTGAGACTACAAGTCTACTGGTTGACACCACCCACCCCGGAGTGGGTCTTCCCTCTTCAGTGAGCCAATCGACACCCCCCCCCAGAATTATGAGAGGCCAACCAGCTGGGGGTTTCTTCTTTCTTTCTGTGAGAGGTATGTAATAATCACATTATCACCAGCAGTTTGTACCTCTACATGGTGTAACTTCATTCTTCTCCCACCCATTTCCTTCCCCTCCCTCCAACTGCTCTCTGCTGGATGTTCCTTACTCGAGTTGTCACCACAGCTAAGTCTCACATAACTTCTCTGTTAGACAAAAGTGCGGTTGGTAAATTGTTCCAGATTTTGCATTTTTGAAAAAGTATTTCTTCTGCTTGCCTTTGAAAGACGTTTTGGCTATAGAATTGTAAGTTGAAGGATCTTTTTCCTTTTGTTACTTCTAAAGAGGCCACTCCACTGTCTACTCACTTCCCAGAAGAAGCATATGCATCCTTGGCTTTGCTCTTTTGTACTGCCTTTAAGGTTTTCTCTTTTAAGGTGTTTTTAATTGGTGATAATGTGTACCTTCTGTGTGGGGAGTTGATTATCGTTACCCATGTTGATTCCTTTTTTGTCCCCTTTCCCTTTCCTTCCTCCCTGCTCCATCCTCCTCTCGATTCCCTTCCTTTCTTATTTGTACACTTCAGTTCATAATATTTATTTCCCTGTGTGCAGTTAATTTCTTGTCACTCCCCTCCCCTTTTTTCATCGACTGATCCTCTTACCCTTTAAGAAAGTTTTTCCTGCTACATCTGCCTCTCTGTTCTGGCCATGCTTGGAGAATGGTGGAGTTCTAAGCAAGCAGATGGGTGCCCACTGTCCCCAGAGCCTAGCCTGTTTGCAACCCTTGCATCATCTGGGTGCAGTGCAACAGCTAGCTGGGTCTGGGGTGCCTGCATCCGCCTCCCTGTGTGTCTTGAGGACTGTGGATTTCTAAGCAAGCAGGTGAGAATCACCAGTTCCAGAGGCCCAGCATCCAGGAGTAAGGGCCGGTGCACTTTTGCCCAAGCCCGGCTTGTTTGCAACCCTCGATCATTCTGGGTGCAGTGGAACAGCTAGGCAGGTCTGAGGTTCCTGCATCCACCTCCCTGTTCCAGATGTGCTTGGGGAACTGTGGAGTTCTAAGCAAACAGGTGAGTGGCACAGGCTCCAGAGGCCCGGTGGCCTGGTGGAAGTGGGTGTCAGAGTCCCAGGAGATGGTGGCATAGAAGAGGATTTCCAACAGACCCCGAGGAAGCTTTCAAATAAAACTTGAAACACAGAAATATAGGAAAATAACAAAACGAAAGACCAAATTACAACCTCAAACCTCCAGCACATCTCAAGAAACCCAGGGAGCGATGTATATAGAAGAAAATATATGCCATACACCTAAAATATCGGACATAATAACAACTGAAATAAACAAGCAAATATGCGAAGCTTTAAAAGAATTCAAACTAGAAATCATTTCCCAGGTAAAAGAAGATATGATAAAAGAAATGAAAGAGATGCTGAAGATATCTAAAGAAAATACAGTTAAAAAATTGGAGGAACTAAACAAAAAGATAGAATCCCTAGATAAGCAATATAAAAAAACAAACAGAATACATAAAGCAGATGCCAAAGATATACAGGAAATCAAAAATTCCACTGAAAGCTGTAAAAACCATGTCAATGAAAGGGAAGATAGAATTTCAGACCTTGAAGACGGGACTGCAGCTAGTGAACAGGAAAGCAAAGATTTTTAAAAAATAACAAAGAATCAGGAAATAACAATTCAACAACTGCAAGATGATGCCAAGAAAAACAACATAAGATTGATAGGGATTAATGAAAAAGAAGGAGACCACATAAAGGACGTCAAGAGGATATTTAGAGAAGTAATAGCTGAAAATTTCCTAGATATGAGATCAGAAACTGACCTCAGGTTCAGTGAAGCATATGGAACTCCAAATAGTCATAACCAAAATATAACTACACCTAGATATATAATAATCACCATCCCGGAAATCCAATAGCAGTTTCCCCCGATTTGGCTCCCCTTATCAATGGGATCTTACAATGACCTGGCTTTTATAGCCCATATAATTCAAAAACTAACCTAAGCATTGCAGATCAATTGGAAAC